GCAAGTACGGAAGTGAAGATGCGTCAAAATGGAGGTGGTTAGTAGCGATCTAATTATCTACGCGGCGGGAAGTCGCGGCCTCCCTCTGAGCTTCACGGCATCGTGAAGAAGAAACAAGATCAACGCGCGAACAAGCCTACGTGAGAGAGAATGAGAAAGAGAATGAGAGAGAGAGAGAGAGAGAATGAGAGAGAGAGAGAGATCCTTCTCACGCATGGAAAAAGAACAGGGGGTGAGTAAGGTACCTCTCTTCTCTACCAAAGACTTACGTGTACCATCTTCTACTAACCCTTTTCTTCACTTCTGGATCCCTATCTCGTTCGCATCGGGAAGACCAATCGAAAGCTTACCGATCACTATGCTTTAACATCTTTTATATTCTGATACGATTATTTCAAGCTATTTTGACCGTGACATCTCTATTACACGTAGAATTTTCTTTCTTTATTTTCTTATTCTTATTCTTATTCTTCTTTACTGCCTTTTTTTCTTTTTATTTATTTTTTTTTTTTCTGTTGCGATGATATTCTTTTTTTGTTATTGATGATTATTGAATGTTTATGTATATAAAAATATTGATCTAGGAAAGAAAAATTTGGATGGAACTGTGATGCAATTTTGGCAAATTGAAAGATCGTGCATTTGAATAATATTGATGATTAATTTGGAATCATTTTTGTTCTTGTTTGTTTTTTAAAACATTCTGTATAGTTTTTTCGAGCAAATGAATCCATTCCTTTAGGAAATTTAATGACACACGTTTAATCTAACATTGTTTGCAGTATGCAGCATAATTTCTTTTTTTATTTAGACACCCATTCAAATATCTTGGATAATAAATATTTTGTTTGAACAAATATATGTAACATAAGATTAATGAAACTTTTATATGTGGGAATTTTCTTGAATTTGATTATTCCAATTCTAAGATTCTGCGGAATGGATTATTTGTGAGAATTAATATTCTTAAAAAAATAAAATAAAATAATAGGAATAAGAGAATAAGAATAAAAATAAGATTTACAGTAATCGAAAGTGTGCCGCTCACGTTCGATCATTTCTCGTCACGATCGATCTTTGAATTCGTGTCGTGTATAAATTGTATAAATGTATAATATGTATATATATGTATAATACAAAGACATTGAAAGGGTAAAGACGGTTGGTTAGGGGAAAATCGTGATAGGATCACGTAGAGAAGCTTCACCAGGGAGAGATCCTCTTTTGTGTTTTAAACGTATAGCGTTGATCGCGAGGAATTTCTCATGTCACGCCGCGTTACTTTATCTGTCGACGAGACTAATGGCGCTTCTAACCTTTTGCCAGGCAAAGTTAAAAGGCCAGTTACCCGTGATTTCATTCCTCTAAATTGTCGATCGATATACGAAATATATTCTAAGTAAAAAGAAAAAAAAAGCAAAGCAAAGCAAAGCAAATCAAATACAAATGAAATCAGCTGAGTGAGCTGACATACGAATAATTTAATTGAATTAACGAATCCCATAAAAGAAATTTTAGATTCGTGTTGACGTATTCTGTTAACGTGTTTGAAACTAAAATTGAAAACTCTTTGTATGTTTCGTTGATATTTAATCGATTAATATTTTATTATAAAACAAATTAAATATATGACTGTATGTATCAGTATTTTAATTAGATTATATTTTAAAGAACAAAATATCGAATATTTTACACGCTAATAATTCGAAAATTATATCTACTACCATAATTAGGGTAAAAGTTCGTATACCAATATTCAATACTTGCATACAACCCCCCGAAGAAACATTTAAAAATAATCATTACGAATGAATCGTATATTTGATCGTTCGAATTAACAAAGCAAACATTTCTTGGGATATTTTCTACAAAATTTCAGAAACATTCGTGTCAAAATAACGTAGAAAGATAGCAAGTAACCAAGTAACTTAACCAAGCAAGTAACCAAGCAGCAGCAGCAGCAGGGAAGAGATGGAAAGATTGGAAGGAAACGTTGGACGAGCTCGAAGACGCCGTAAATGAAGCGGGTGGGTAGTTGGCGGGGGAGGGGTGGGGATTCGGAAAAAAGGTCAAATGAAAAAGAAAAAGAAAAAGTAAAAAGAAAGAAAGTAAAAAAGAAAACGCGAGGCAGAAATGAAAAAAAAAGAAAAAGTCGAAGAAGGAAAAGAAGTTGGTGTAGCATAAGTAGGATGAGGGGAAAGGAAAGGAAAGGAAAGGAAAGAGAAGGGAAGGGAAGGGAAGGGAAGGGTTAAGGAAGAGGAATAATAAGAATAATAAGAATATAGTAAGATGAGGGTGGGTTGGGGGGCGGAGGAGGAACCGTCCGCGGTGACGGTCAGCGAGCGCGAGCTGACCTCTGACCCGTCGTGCGTCTTCGTCTCTATTCGTTGAGATTCGTTCGTTCCTTCTCACTCACTCACTCACTCTCTCTCTCTCTCTCTTACTATCTTTCTCTTTCTTTCTTTTTCATTTTTTCTGTCTCTCACTGACGGAGGGCCTGGCGTGGGCGAAGTTTACGCGCGCGCGGGGGAGTGAAAGGTGCACGTAGTGGGGAGGAAAGAAGAAGAAGTAGAAGAGGAGGAAGAAGAAGAAGAAGAAGAAGAAGAGGAGGAAGAAGAAGAAGAAGAAGAAGAGGAAGAGGGAAAGAGATAGCTGACGAGCTGGCCCGCGGGCGTCCCGAGACCGTGAGAACACCACCTATAATATTATTTAGTCTGCTCGATGCTTTGCTTCGGCTCTCTTCTCTTCTCTTCTCTTCTCTTTGACTACCCCTTCTCCTACCTTTCGATCAGTTCTCTCTCTCTCTCTCTCCACCCCTCCTCCTTTCCCTTCTCAATTTCTTTTCTCTTTTTCTCTTTCTCCATCTTGTAACGCTCTCCTTATATTAGTCTATCCCTTTTCTTCCTTCCGTAGTTTGCTCTTACAGAATTTTCTAACTCTATCTATCTACTTTTCTTTCTCTCTCTTTTTCTCCTTTTTTTTATTTTTTGATTCTTTCTCTTTTCAACTTACGTCATGTCCGGAGCCCTAACTATAGGCGCTATACACGGTTTACTCGCGCGCATTAATTGCCGTCGTAAATTGTTGCGGCTTTACCGAGGAGTCCTTTACCAGTCGAAACGATGGAAAGGAAGGTGCGCTGGTTGCTCACGTAAAATCAACTGGCCCGTCTGTGTGTGTGTGTTTCTGTGTATATACGTGAGATATCGCTAATACTAAAGTATTTATCTTCTGTTTTTTTGTTTTTGCTTTTCTTTTTTTCTAGTAGTTAGAAAACAAACTCCCACATTTTCATGTTTGCAATAGCAACAGTAACAGCAGAAGTAGCAACAACCAATCAACCCTTTCTTTCTTATCGTCTCAATTCATTTCCCATTTTCATTTCTCATTGATATATTCTTTATACATCATTGTTGTAACATTTAACATTCTTTTTATTTTTATCTCGTTTAAAACAAATGCATAACTATACATATATATATATATATATATACAATAATATGCAAGTAGTAGACTCTCACCTATCTATCCTATCGCCATTATCGATCATGTTAATCATTCTTTATTTCTTATTCTTCCTCTTCCTCTTCTTCTTCTACTTATTATTATTATATACAAGACTTATATATATGTATATAGAAAAAAAAAAGAAAAACAAAAAAGGTAGAAGCATGAATCAAACGAGCACGAGCAGCCCATACAAGCCGCTCTACATGAGGGGGAACGGGAGATATAATAAAATATTAGGCGTCAAGATCGATCCATTACGTTTTAACAGGACAAAAAAAAAAAGCAAAAATCTCTACTATCTAGCTTGGTAATGGAGGAGGAAGTAATCGTAGAGATTCTTTCTGGTGAACGGAAAGAGAGATAGAAAAGGATGGTCAGAAGGGGTGGGGTGGGGGATCAGAGAAAGAGAAAGAGAAAGAGAAAGAGAGAGAAGCGTTGGTTTGCTAGATATCCGACAAAATAGTAGGCGCCGTTCGAGTCTTCCCGACATCGGGACTCCCCCGCACGCATGTACAGAAAAGAGAGAGAATGTATAGGTAAAAAAAGAGAGAAAGAGAAAGAGAGAGAGAGATACGCACGTTCTCCGGTCACGCACGTACCATTACGTTACGGCGACGTTTACACGCCGAGCCCGTCGTCGAAGCGTACGGCCCAGCTGTGGGCCCTCTCTCTATCTCTCTCTCTCTCTCTCTCTCTCATTCTAATTCTTTCTCTCTCTAATTCTTTCTCTTTTTCTCTTTTTCATTCTCTCTCTTTCTCCGTGTAAGTTTCCGAATACGGGCCCCGTACGCTCGTAGTGGACGGACCCATTTCGACTCGGATACCTGCCACCAGGTGGCTCCACCAGCAGTGCCCAGCAGCGCTCGGCAGGAGCAGTCTTCGGAGCGCGTTCGCACCGCCAGCATCTCCGTGCGAGCGTCGCTGCTTTCTCTTTTCTCTTCCTTCCTTTATTATATATAAATAAGCATTTTTCCTAACGAGAATCGAATTTGTCGCGTATAGATTTATTTATTTAATTAAAGCAAACAATATCGTACCGAATCGATCCGGGGACCGTATCCGTAATACTAGTCCGTTCCGTATATTTTTATTCAAATAAAACGCGACGATAGAAATTTTTTTCGTTACACAATTCAATAAATAAATATTAATTTATATTTATTTATTATCGAGATAACAACAACAACAACAAAATTATATATATATATATATATATATATATATATATATTATTTTTTGATTACGAGATTAATTGCGAGAAGTGTTTTCGACGATATGATTATTGATAATAACGTTTAACGAGAATTAAATTAATACGTATTTTAATAGATCGATTAATCGAATCTCTAAGCGTATGGATTTAAAGGAGACGAAAGTAATCGTTGTTAGGTGTAAGCGAATAAATTGCCGAATGGTATCGGGAATAATATTCGTTTTAGAAATTGCGTTCCCGAGATTTATAAAAGATTATCTCGTTTATACGTTGGAGGATGCAACAACAGGATAAACAAGAAGAATTGGAAGAGGATCAACGTGGAATAACGATAATGCCGTCATCTTCTTCCTCGTCTAACACGACGACTATCGCTATGACGGAAGAGGATCATCGGCAAGTAGATGCTGCTGCTACCAGTATCGCTTTAGAATCGAGTTTACCGAATTTCACGCTTCACAGCGTTGCCCTCGGTCTACAGAGTGCAATATTGGCTGCCCTACAAAGGGCAGCCTTGTTACCACCCGATCATGCCGCGGTCGCTGCTTTGAATCTTCAAGCACTCGATACCTATCTCACCCTTCATCGTCTTCAAGCAAGCGGTGCTGTTCCTACGGCCGGTGTTAATCAACAAAGATGTTCACCGTCGTTAACCACAGATTTGGTTGATGAAACCAACGTCCTCCCGACAACGACCAACTCGACTAATTCGAGAACCATAACGACGATGGTTGATACTTCGAAAAATGATCATCATCATCATCATCATCATCATCATCAACAGCAACAACTAGAAACCGAGCAACTTCTTCGATCGATCGACGAGGACGAAGACGGTGCTCGTTTGGAATTCGTCGCGGATCCGGAAGAAGATTTGGCCCTCCTAGAAGAAGAGGAATCCATTTTAAGGGACACCGGAGCTGGTAGTGGTGGTGGTGCTGGTGGTGGTGGTCTTGGTGGTGGTGGTGGAGGTGGAGGAATAACAGCCACGTCCTCGTCCTCCTCGTCCACCGTTTCTACGAATTCCCACGAACTTTTGTTGCGTCGAATATCCGATGGAAATCGCGCGAATTCTATTAACACGTCGATCACACAAATCAACAATCAAGTCCCTAATACGACGAACACCACCACCACCTCGTCTTCCTCACACTGTTCGTCAACATCCTCGATTTCTAATAATTCTTCTTCTACTACTTCTTCCAATTCCTCAAATAATACCAATCCTTCTCTACAAACAAATTCAACCACCGTAGATTCTGGTATACAAAAATCTTGTCGAGCGTCGAGACCGAAAAAACAATTTATCTGCAAGTTTTGTAGCCGACAATTCACCAAGAGTTATAACCTATTGATACACGAGAGAACCCACACAGACGAGCGACCATACTCGTGCGATATTTGCGGCAAAGCTTTCCGACGGCAAGACCATCTTCGTGATCATAGGTACGTTCAAAAAATCCCCCACTCATTCACTCTAACTCTCCCATCAATATATTTTTCATTTTTAAATATACTTTCCTTATCTTGCATTGAAATCTCTTTCTTTATCTAGCATTGAAATCTCTTTCTTTACCTAGCATTGAAATCTCTTTCTTTATCATGCATTGAAGTCTCTCTTTATCCAGCATTGAAATCACTTTAAAATCGATAAGAAAAATTCCTCCAAAAACAATATTAATTAACGTCATTTATTTATTTATTATTTTTTGTTGTTGTCGTCATCAAATTACAGGTATATTCACAGTAAAGAAAAACCATTCAAGTGCGCCGAATGCGGCAAAGGATTTTGCCAGAGCAGAACATTGGCCGTTCACAAGATTCTACACATGGAAGAATCACCCCATAAGTGTCCGGTTTGCGCTAGAAGTTTCAATCAAAGGAGTAATTTGAAGACACACCTGTTAACGCATACGGATATCAAACCTTATCACTGTGCCTCCTGTGGCAAGGTCTTTCGAAGAAATTGCGATCTAAGGCGACACTCTTTGACCCATAATCTTGGCGTATCAACGTCACCACCACCGCCAACTGGTGGGGGAGGAGGAGGAATAGCTGTACCTGGCACGAGCACCGTTGTTCTTCAAAAGACGTCCTAGCGAGCTTACTTTTTTTTTAAAAAAAAGAACAGAAAAAAAGAATAAAAACAACATAGAAACCGAGAGGAATTGCACACGCTTTAGTTCAAAAAAAGAAATAACAAAATGGGGGATAAAAAATGTATAGGAAATTTCGACGCGGTGGGTTGGTCGAAATTTTCTCAAAAGGACACTTTGCGTATTACTTTCTTTTTTTTAATTTTATTTTTCTTTTGCGCCAAACACATTTTTCTCTTTCTTGTTTTTATATATATTTTTTTGATTTTTTTTTGTTTTTACCTACAGGAAAATATAATATTTTCCTTATCGACGTTGTAAATAATTCGCATACTTTGATCGTTGTATAATCTATAACTAATTCGAATTAGTATCCTCGTCGCGTTATCATCGATCATTATTGAAATGAGTTGGCGTATTCTTTGCGTTGTTTTTTTTCCAAAATGCGTCTCTCGTGATTAGAATTATTTCTGTTCGACGTTCGTTAAACGGTTCTAATGAAAATTTGTCACGACTTAATTAACAAACAATAAGAAATACCTTGTACGATATTTAATTAGGTTAAACGAAGATTATAATAATAATAAAAAAAATAAAAAAAAAGGAAAGAGATAAAAGGAACGAGGGAAAAAGAATACAAAATATAGAAATACGTCTATCGTGTATGTATAATTCCTGTGTACTTGTAAAATAAATCTTTATTATTATTTTTAAAAAATAATCTGTGAACAAGACTACAAACACATACATATATTCCTGGATAAATAAAAATCGTACGAGTAGATACGATTTTTGATTGACATGAATGATTTATTAGGGCGGAGGGTTGGAGTATGGGGTTTTAAAAAAAATAAATCTCTTCAAGGGAAAGAGAGAGTTTCTGACATGAAAAAATTTCCAAATTCTTTTCTTACATTTTTTAATTGGATTTCACACACACACACAATTTTCGTTTCTCTCTCTCTCTCTCTCTCTCTTACTAGCTCTCTCTTTCTTTTTTTAAGATACTTGATTTTTTTTTTTTTTATTTAATCCTGACAACGTACCTATATCGAACGTCCGAACGTCCTGAGTGTAGTAGAAGGATAAGAAAAAAGGAAAGGTAGGAAGAAAGAAACGCGTGTATCGTGTTACAAAGAACCGGACCGCCAGGTGCGCAGGACATGACACCGCGATGCGTCTAGGGTTACGTTTCTTTTCTCGATGGGGGTGAGGTGGAGTAGGGGAGGGAGTTGAGGGGGAGGGCAGGGGGTCAGCGAGGAGACGAAGTTAAGGAGGTGAAGGAGGTTAAGAAGAAGAAGAAGAAGAAGACGAAGCAGAAGAAGAAGAAGAAGAAGGTTCGAGAAAGAGGTGGTGGAGGATGGGGAGGAGGTGGAGGAGGGGGAGGAAGACTCGCGCCGATTTCGGAGGTCGGTTCTTTTCCTCCTTCAACAACGACGATGAGGAGACGCTATTTCAGGGAGTTCTTGGACGCTCGTCGATAAGGAGAATGTCGCACGACCGGTCGACATACACACACACACACACACACACACACACATAGACGTAATATATATATGAATGCATATATACTCGTACTGGAAAAAGAGAAGCTACATTGCGTGTACTATCTCTCTCTCTTTCTTTCTTATTCTTTTAGTATGCGTGCGTATGTGTGTGTGTGTGAGCATGTGTATATGTATAAGCACGCTAACGTAATCCTGGCCACCGCGAGGCGCTTTCATAAATTCCTAACGGCGGACGTTTTACCGCGAATTACGGCGAGACTTGTCTACCGCAAAACGCACGTGGTAGAAAAAAAAAAAAATATAATGTAAAAAGTTATCCATCGGTGAGCGTGCGAAGTAGGTACGAGTAAGGTAACGACTAGCCAAAGGTATCTATCCCCTTCCCCAACTAGGGTTGAGATACCTATACTATAGAAAGGAAGAGAAGGTTAGGGTAAATTGTAGGAACCGCAGAAAGATTGAACCGCATAGGGAAAGTAAGGATTTCTACTTGCATATATGGAAACGATCGTAAATTTTCTTTCACAAAGGATCTTATTTATTATCGATATATATATATGCATATCTTATGTGCAACATACGTGCACAATTATTTTTCTCTCTCTATCTTTCTTAGGATTAGTTAAATATATATATATATATATTGTACATACATTTCATATGGATAATTGACGAATTATGTGTTAAATGTATTTTGAAAAATAATTATTAATATCATCGTGATAATGATAATATTAAATATCAATTGAAAAAAAAAATAATATAATATCGTAGAAATTGGGAAAAATGTTTTTCCTCTTCCTTCCTTTATTTATTTATTTCTTTGGTATCGTGAATAAGAAGAATAATAAAAAGAAGAAGAGTGAGAAAAGAGAGAAAGTGGAGGGACCACGAAGAGGACCACACGCACGCGCCGCCCACAGATACGCTATCACTTGGTTACAACCGACGTGATCTGCATGCGCATGTTTTCTCTCTTCTCTTCTTTCGTCAGGACGAAGATACAAGTTGAAAAAGAATAAGAAGATGAAGAATAAGAATAAGAAGAAGAAGGGAAAGACCGAGAGGAATCTTTTTCCTCAGCATTCTGTTCCTTTTTACCCGTTCGGACTACCTACCTTTCGCTGATTTAAGGGGTTGGCATAGCGTCGATAACACGTTCCCGTATGTGTCGCGTATATTTTCCATCCTTCTCCACCATCTCATCCTCTTTTTCTAACTCCTACTCCTACTCCTACTTTTACTCTTACTTTTTTCCCCTTTTTTTTTTTCTTTTCGTATATTTTCGAATACCACCACCATCACCACCACCATTACCTTTTGGCAAAAATCAAACGATCGGTTTTTATCCTATTTCTATTTTTTTCTTTTGTAAATCGTCAAATAACCTTATGGTCATTATTTTTCTTATATTTCTTTTTTTTTCTAAACTTTTCATATTCCAACCCCTATTTATTTCTCGACAATATAATAACGACAGAAATATATATCTGCTTATAATTATGTAAAAGTGGTCTAAAGTCAAAATTAAAAAGAAAACAAAAATATGAATTTAACTAAATTAATTCAATATATAATTTTCACGATATTATTAAAAATGAATTGTTAGACAGTATTTGTTATTTCAATATTATATAGAATTCATTTTTAATGTTCAAATATAATCCTTTAAATATCTCAAAACAAGAGATATATTACTTAAACCACTTTCATAATTATGGGTACACACATATATATATACATATATATTTTTTTTTACGACACGGTCTTACATTAAAAAGGTAATCCCTTTACCCCGTTACCATGGTAATTATAATTTTTAGATAAAAAAGAAGGAAGGGGGGGAGCAGTAGATGTGAATAAACGTGAGAAGTTATTCGCAGAAAGAGGGATGTGTTCCTACGCGCGTGCTTTAAGAAGAAAGAAAGAAAGAAAGAAAGAGAGAAAATAGGATAGAAAGGGATAGAAGGTATGCAAAGAGGATAACGTCTCCATACTCGTACGGTAGAACGAAGTTGTACTTGCCGATATACGATCGGTGGTGGTGGTGGATGGTCGCGCGGAAGGTGGCCACCCGCAATACTGCAGGCTTGTATCGCTTAACAGCCTTACCGTGGGCATTTATAACGACCGATCGGGCACCATCCCCTTTTCCCACCTTCTACCAGATATACGGACCGGTTCCACCATCTACACATTTTTTCCTTTAACATTTACTCTCTCTCTTTCTATCTCTCTCTATCTCTCTTTTCTATTTTCTTACCTTTAAATTTATTCTCTTTTTTATTTTTATTTTTATTCAGTTGTTTACTTCCTTCGCAAACATCATTGTCCTCGCAATTTTCATTCGCGTGTCCTATGAGAATATTTCAACCTAAAAAAAAATGGATTCCTATTAATATAATCATCGATAGATATAAAATAATATTAGGTATAACTTTACGCCTATATTCATTGAAAGATGATAGGGGGGAGGAGCTGAGGATTCATGGATAAAAATGATTCTTCATATAGAAAGAGAGAGAGAAAGATTCTGACACCGTTGACGCATATAATCCCGTTGACAAGGGTGCTTAATCCGATTTATATTTATGTTAAGCAACGATATGACTAAGAACGAATAAGAGAGAAAAAGATAGATAGAGAGAGGGGGGTGGTAAACGAGTGAGCGAGAACCGTCGACGATTTAATTAATTTCTTTTGGGAGGCGTCTAATAACGCTATCTGAGATCGACTCCGTTGAAAAGTAGAAAGAAAAAGAGACATGAGTGGGGTGGGGTTAGTGGGGAGGGGCTGGGGGGAGGGGAGATAGGGAGAGGTAGAATATAGAAGAGGATAAAAAAAATCGGTTCGAACGGGCCACTTTCTCTCTCTTTCTCTCTCTCTTTCTCGTTCTGTTTCTGTTTTGGTTGGTTGTGTTGGTGGTGGGTACGAAATACGAACGGGCGGACAGGATGACGGACGGCGGGACGCCCTGGGCAACCGAGCGGTGACTCGCGCGACACAACCTCGCGTTCGCCCACGCATATCCACCGGAGATTTCAACGCGCCACCCCCCCATATCCCCCATATCCCCCCCTGGACTCCATCTACTCTTCTTACCTTCTTTTTCTCCTCCATCTTTCGGAGAGTATCTTCTCGCGTTGGCTTCTCTTTTACTTTTCTGTCTGTGTTCGCGCATATCGCACAACCAAAACCCTTTCTTTTCTGCCTACGTTTTGGATAAAAAAATAAAAAAAAAGAATAAACAAATGGATGGTTTTGAAAGTAATTTTAATTTTCTCGAACATCGGTATCAATCTTTCTTCCTCTTTCTATTACTTTTCTTACGTTTTTAAGTGTCGTACGGATTTTCCTTTATTTCGTTATTTTTTTATTGCACGTGTGGGATGGATCAATTTTATTTTACGATGAAATTTTATATATTATGATCTACATTTATTATTATCGAAGTTATATTTCTTTTGGAGCGCGTTGTGGAAAGTGAAGTTACGT